TGGCCCCTGCATGTGTTAAGCTGTGGTTTATACTAAATACATCAATATTATTTTCATTAAAAATAAGGTGGGCGATTGACATTGGTTTTCTTGCCAACAGAATTGAGGGAAAAAAAGAACAATGAATCCATCTGTATCCATCCTTCTGTAGCCCAAGCCTGATATTGTATAATTAATTTTTCTGTGCCATAGAGCTTCACTCTTGTCTCCTTTTTGTGTGTGAATATATAACAAACACTGCGCTATGTGTGTATTAATCTGTAGTTAAAATAGTTCCCTACAATTTCACAATATACTTATTTTGGAGTAACGTAACCTCTTAAAAAATAACTAGACTAATTATTTTAGAGATGGACCAACACATTGTAGGTTTTGGTCTTTTCATAGGATTTGGTCTTTGTTGAAAAAGAAAGAGGAAGGCTTCCCAGAAGAGGCTTGAGCGAGTAAATAAAGCGGCATCAAGCAAAGAGGTCAACAAGCATCACTCGTAATCTGTGTGTGATTGTGTACCACTGTTGATTGTGCTGCTGTGAAATCACATCCCCAAAATGCTGACATTTACTCCTACCAACATGAACTGAACTGAGAGAGAACACAACCCACTCAGGTGTTTCAGTGTTCCAAACTTTTAGATGTATTTGTATTAATCATTGCCATTTAGAATGAGTTGACTTATGTGGAGCTGATTCCCGACAGAACCTTAAAACTACACAAATACATGTGGTGTATATTTACACTCCATATAAATACATCTTTATATGAAGTAAATTCATAATTGCTTCTTTTTTTTTTACCAGCATACCAAAAGTGTTGGCATTCCAATCCTAAATCATTAAATATCGTTTCTCTAAAAGCACAACTTCAATCTCAATCTCAATCTTTATTTATTTATATAGCACATTTAAAACCACCTTCAGTTGACCAAAGTGCTGTACAGGCAATAACTACAATATAAAATAACACAATGGGAGGACAATAATAAAACAATAATTAAAAACATGATAAAAAGCACAATAACTAGAAACATATTAAAAAAAATACAAATGTAAAAATGTAATGTTCAACTAGTATTAAACTTCAATTAGTGTAGACATTTAAATGATAATTGAATGAGGATCTTATCCACACTCAGTTTCTGAGGAACCCTTACATGTAACTGTGGTTTGCCATATAGGAGAACATCAATCACACAAGAACAGCACAAGCAATGATAATGTGCACCGTGTCATAATCACATTATCTGCAGTTGGCGCTGACTGACGGGTGATCCTGCTGTGCCGGCGTCATACCAAACTGACGTCTTTTCAGATGATGACGCTTCAGAGGTAAAGACGTCTTTATCGCGTGTCTTTTCTTTGCATTTCGCCCACTCGTTTTCAGTGGGAGGGATTGACACAAAAGGAAAAGACGCTAGTGAGGGAAGTGTGAAGACAAGGGAGGGAATTGCCATGTATTCCCAGAGGATTCACCTCACATGATTTCACACTCTAGTGTTTGTGGAAAATGTTAAAATAAGTTTGACAGCCTCTCTCCTCCTACACAGGTCTGGACATGTCAATCTGTTCATTATCAATGCCTCGCCGCCTGCTCGTTGACCTCTACCGCTCACTGTAGACTTTCTCTCTCTGTTCTTTTTGTGTCTATCTCTCTGCTGGGATTGCTAACTCGAGGGTGTGAAATGTTGCGGCTTCTCAGACCTTTTATTTGTCCGGATACAAACAATGCCAAATCATACTTACTGTAAAACAATGCACAATAGGCTGAGCCGGTGCCAATATAACGCCAACGCTCGCCAACTGGACTCATCGCTCTGATTGGAGAGGAGCAGAAGAGGCATCAAATGGTTGGGGGTTTGACGGATGAATAATTTGATAAAGCACATTATGAAAGAACAGCTTGAAAAGTAATTGCAACAAATACAAAAAACCTTGTTCAAGGTAAATCAGAAATAGCTGAAAATGAGTGTGTGTTACATTGGTTATGTAAACTATAATACAATGTGTATTTATTTTATTCTAATATGGTGAACCTGTCACAAAGTCTTTTGATTGATTTTATTAAGGTTTACTATAAACTTACTTTACTTTAATAAAAGTAAAATACCACAGTATAAAAATACTATTAGAAATGAAAGCCATGCATTTGAAAATCTACTTGGTTCAACAGACATACTGTCCAGCATGGGAGGTTAGTGCAGTGGTTCTCATCTTAGGGGTCACTCCAAATTGTCACAAAATACATTTTAGGGATCCTGAAATGATGAATAAGGTAGAATCTTTTTTTTTTTTTTTACTATAACTGGATAGTTTGACCTCTTTCAGACTAGTATTCATAATAAAACCACATGAGAAAATTATTTTAGAACTGATAACTCAAAGTGCTAAACCAGACTTTTAGGGTTTAATCTAAAACATGTTTAATTGAATAAGCTTCTTGTTTTTTTGATGTGACATCTTATTCTGAAAAGCAACTTAATACCATTATATTATACCTCAAATCTATCGCATAAATATAGTGGATAGTAGCATGAAATTGAATTAATGCAGTACCTCTATGAACAAACTCTTAGTTAATTTCCACTGATTGATTTGACCAGATTAGTTAGTCAGTCCCCGAGTTATTCTCGCACATTTGTTAATAACAGAAAACTCTGCGACATGTGGTACATGTTCATCCACTTTATTCAGCTCTTTGTAGAAGCACCACTGTAATTACAGCTATAAGTATTTTGAGGCCAGCTGTGCACACCTGGATGTAGGTAATTAACTTCTTGACGATCCTCTTCTGCGGCGCCCGATTAGACAGCGAAGCGTTGGTTAATTGCAGTCTGCATGTCTAAGCACAGACTTTCAACAAAAGCCTGAACCTGAGCCCGGCTGCCGGCACTGTGAGAGCAGTGGGTTGAGATGCAGTTGAATTGCAATGCAACATACATTATATAGTGATTTATTTTGAATATCAATCTATTCTCAACGAGAGGCTTACAAGAACTATGTGTAGTTTAAGGGCTGTGACTTATGATTGTTTTTCAATAGTGAATCATCTGTGGATTCCAATTCAATCCATAATGTGGTGTGTCAAATGCCTTTTTAAAAATGTCCTTTTTCTGGAAACATTAAAAATTGGTAATTCTTCCTTTTTCAGATGTTGGAAATAATACATCCACATCGGGTTGTATTATACAGGAATGGCACAAGAATATGATCTTACCAATTAAATACAAGCTATGGCTCCACTACTTCAAAAATATTAAAACATATGGTTGAAACCCTGTTCTTGAGGAAAGATAATGGACTGAACAATAATATAAACGCAACACTTTTGTCATAGCAATTCCAAAGAAGGTCTCTAAGGAATGGATTAAGTTGTTTAAAAACACCTAGAGAAATGCTGATGGGCCCATCATGGAAATATAATTAAACTAGGATGGAACCATTTCTACACTAAAAATATAAACGCAACACTTTTTATTTTTGCTCCCATTTTTCATGAGCTGAGACCAAAGTTCAAATCTTTCTATGTAAACAAAAGGCCTATTTCTCTCAAATATTGTATATATTATAAATCTGTGTTAGTGAGCCGAGATAATCCATCCACCTCACAGTATCAAGATGCTGATTAGACAGCATGATTATTGCACAGCTGTGCCTTAGGCTAGTCACAATAAGAGGCCACTCTAAAAGGTGCACCTTTATCACACAGCACAATGCCACAGATGTCGCAAGTTTTAGGGAGCGTGCAATTGGCATGGTGACTGCAGGAATGTCCACCAAACTGTTGCCCGTGAATTGAATGTTCATTTCTCTACCATTAGCCGTTTCTGAGAATTTGGCAGTACATCCAACCGGCCTCACAACAGCAGACCACGTGTAACCACATCCGGCATCTTCACCTGCAAGATCAACTGAGTGCAGCCACCCAGAAAGCTGATGCAACAATGGGTTTGCATAACCAAAGAACTTCTGTACAAACTGTCAGAAACCTTCTCAGGAAAGCCCACCTGCATGCTCGTTGTCCTCAACGGGGTCTTGACCACACCGCAGTTCGTCGTCGTAACCAACTTGAGTGGGCAAATGCTCACCTTCGATAGCATCTGGCACTTTGGAGAGGCTCTTTAAGGATGATCCCAGTTTTCACTGAACAGGGAAAACATCCTAGTTCTGCATGGCTTGCATACTCACATGTCACCCACTGAGCATGTTTGGGATGCTCTGGGTCGGCGTATAAGACAGTGTGTTCCAGTTCCTGCCAACATCCAGCAACTTTGCACAGCCATTGAAGAGGTGTGGACCAACATTCCACAGGCCACAATCAACAACCTGGTCTACTCTATGGGAAGGAGATAAAAGGGCCTTTTTATTGTGAGGCACAGCTGTGCAATAATCATGCTGTCTACTCAGCATCTTGACCTGTGAGGTGGATGGATTATCTCGATAGTGCTCACTAAAACAGATTAAGACACATTTGTGAACAATATTTGAGAGAAATATGTGTTTACATAGAAAAAGTCTTGGATCTTTGATTTCAGCTCATTAAAAATGGGAGCAAAAACAAAAGTGTTGCATTAATATATTTGTTCAGTGTAGAAATGGTTGCAGCCTAGTTTAATCATATTTCCATCAGCATTTCTTCAGGTATTTTTTAACATTTTATTATTCTTTTTTATTACCTTCTCTGTTTGATTTATTTTAGGTTGCACTATATGATCAATGTTTTATATACTGAATTCTATAAAATAGACATATTTAACAATAACCTTTTAGACATACATTTGTTACATGCCACTTTTGATGACATACTTCTCTATGACCTTTTTAATTACATATTATTGATTACTTTGTGTGGTTAAAACTGAAAATGGGCCAGTCTTAAGTATATATCACTCTTTTCAATTATTATTACACGATGTGGACTTTTACTAAATAACCCCCCGCCCCCTCCCTATAAATGGAGTGTGTCTGGATCATGAGGCAGCCGTTGACTCACTGTCTTTGTTCTAGATGGCATCAGTCTGGAGGGGATGGTGGTGCACAGAGCGGAATGCAGACCGGTCGTCAATGACAACTACATGAAGCTGAAGAAGTGAGTTCACTTTGAAATTGTTCAGCTCATGAGTTACAATACTGCCATGCTGCAAAGAACGGGAAATACTTCCTGCTCAAATTCAGCAAATGGATGTTAGACGGTTTCAAACAAAAATACCAACGCTCCAACTTATTCCACTCACTTGAAATGTCCAGTATCTTTATTGTTACAATGAATGCACAGCAATTGTGACTGGCACCAGATGATGCAGAATATGTCAAACATGTCTTTATTAGTAAGCTCCTGGTATTTAATGAAAACCCAATCTCCCCTCTGTGTTGCAGCATTTCTGTTACAGTAAAAGATCAGACTAACTATTGATGGATTGTTTTTATAATCAGCGAAGATTATGAATAAACAAATGTCAGGGCTGCACTTGTTGATTTTTAAATGGTCCCCCCCCCCACTGGACAACACAAAACATGTTTGAGTGTTTTGAATTAATCTTTGTCGAGAAGTTTGACAAGCAATTTGTGTGGACCAAATACTTGAGTCCACTCTGCCTTTTGAAATGCTTTCTGTCTCCTCTTCATCGAAATCCATTATCACAGCGAGTTAGTGCAAGGCATTGCTATAGCAACCGCATCACAGTGGCAGATGCACTGCTACAATACAACTCAAGGCAAAACACACAACACAGTTGGCTTTATTGTGTGAGACCATTTCTGTCAGCCATCAAATCAGTCAGACAGTGCAGAAAAAAGCCTTCTAGGACAGTTTTAGGAAAACTTCCCCACATGTTCCTGACTGTAGATAAAGTGGTAATATGGAGCACTCAACACATGCATTTGCCCATCGGAATAACATTGTTGTGCTTTAAGACGATTTCAATAATATTCCTCATTCAGAGAGTTGTTTTTCTTCACTGAGGGACATTTGTACTGATATATTGTTCTTTGTTACATTTTTTATGTGGTCAGTTTGAATTGGATCAACAAATGGAGAATGAAGTAGGACTAGGAACTAAATCATAGTAACTCGAAAAAGATGAATGTGGAGATAAATATAGTCTCCAATGCCTCAGCATGCTTGATAATTAAGCATAGATGTTTATTGTTAGAATGTTTTTATGAATATGTCACTGTTACTATAGCAAGACATCAGGCAACAGATCGTCTAGGCTCATAACCTTCGCTGTTTGAATGGCCGTCAATTTAAATACAATAATGTGTAATGACCAGCTGAGGAACAATGGGTAAATAGAAAGCAGAGCAGCTGCCATAATTGGTTTGTTTAGTTTACCCTCGAGGTGCTGACAGTTGTCTCCGTGCCAACAGCCACATCTGTCAACAGAAATCAAGTTAGATCACAGGAAACACAAATCAAACTGTATCTGTGTGTGTGTCAGGCTGCAGCTTCAAGAGTCCACCAAGCCTCAGCGTTTGTCTCAGCAGCTGGAGAGAGCCATCACCACCATCTTCAAGCCCGTGGCCAACCATGATTTCAACGTGAGAACTAATAACAGAAAGCTGAATTTATTTATATACAAATGTGTGTTTGTGTGTGTAACCAGTATGGTTTAAAACATGGTGTGACCCATTTGATCAAGTGAAATGCATTAATGGAGCTTGTTGCAAGGCTGAGCTGCACTTGCAATAAAAATGAATATATAAACTGTCTTTCAAAAGCCTCATTCACCGAATGCAAAACAATTTTTTCCCAATCAACAGCTTTTTATTGTGTTTTAACGATGGAAGTTAAATTATCTAAAACCTGTAAAACATACTGTCTCTGTTATGTGACAGTTTAAATGGCATCTGTTGAATATCTTGAGCAAAAATACCCAGAATTCCTTGCTTCAAGCCTTTCAGATACGATTAATCTTTTGGTTTCCTGTTGTGGTGAACTGACTTTTTTCAATGTTTTCTGACTTTTTCCAATTATTAAACTAGAAAAAGATCAACAGATTAATTTATGATGAAAATAATCCTTGTAGTCATTGCCACCTTAAGAAGTTCTCTTGTGGTTCATCTGTGTTAACCCGGTTTAGGATTGGAGACCAATCATTTTAAGCAGAAAGCTTTCTGTACAAGCAGCGCAGGCGTTCAGTTCACTCACCAGGCTGCAGTCGGAGCCTGGCCCCCAGGGATGATATAACCCAAACAGTTTTTGCTATTTTTTTAATCCATCTATTGTAAACCCGCCAAGAACGGTTTGAATTGTAAACAGAGTCAGTGGTACCACACAGTAGAAATATGGAACATATCCTTCAACCTTAATCCTGAGTTTAACAGAACTGGATTATGATCAAATTGTGAATCAAACCAAAAGGATCTCATTACCGTTAGAAATACAAGTGTCATTTTGATGGGTTTTAGTATCAGTAGTAGTAACACTCCTTTTGGTTCTTAGTTGGAGTACGATAAGAAGAAGAAGTCAGAGGGGAAGATGGTGAGGGCCGAGCGACAGGTGGTGTTGGACATGTGCTTCTCTGCCTTTGAGAAGCACCAGTACTACAACATCAAGGACTTGGTGGACATCACCAAACAACCTGTGGTGAGCAGCACAAACACACACAAACAGACTACACCTGCCCACTATCCACCTTGTTTTGTTAAATTTGAACAAATCGCCCACGACAAAGCGTGCATGCCTGTTCACACTCTTTTGTGGCTGAGATTTGGGCTATCATGGGCACGCGCGCACACGGGATGAATCGATACAGCGCTGTGGATGTGCTCCAGCAGAACAGCGCTGTGTAGGTGCTGATGAGACCTCCAGGCCCTCCTCTCCCTCTGATTGCATCTGATTGCATAACCACCGGCTGAGTAGGAGTCAAACACAGCAATACACTCCACACCATCGTTTCTCTCCTAAAGCACTTGGCTAACACTCAAAAGTAACCGAAATGCCCATTATGAAAAGTCTTGAAACGCTGGTGAAAATCAGGTGCAGTGGGCACTTCCTGGTCAGCTCAACAGAGACACCCAGTGGCCGCTGTCACACACTGCGCCTGCTCAGGGTGAACTTTACATGGGGCTGTCCCTTCAGAAATGAAAGCGGATTGAAGTCAGAGGGGTGGGGGGTTCAGGCAGAGTTGCAGTGAAACCACCATGTATTATAAAAGAAGGTGAATCTCATCTCATTAAGTCACGTCCAGTACATGCATGTATGAGCATCAAAATATACTAAGTACCAAGACTCAAATTATTAATTTCTATATTTACTGATGCAATAATATGTGAACAGCACTCTAACTATATAGCCAGTAAAGGTGGAGCTATTATTATATACTTTAAGTACTACAGTAAACCTGAATCTGTAACAATGTAACATAATTTGCAGAGCATAGGTGGAAAGTACATTTACTCAAGTACATTTACTCAAGTACTGTACTTTTAACGCTATTGCTATACTACATTTAAAAGGGAAATCATTACATGTTACTCCACTACATTAATTAATGTAATACTTACGCTTTAATCACTTTTCAGATTCGAAAAACCTTTATCTAGGTATAATTCTACTTCTAACAAAAAGTTGTTAACATCAATAACGTGTGTGTGTATCAAATCTGTCTGCAACAGAAGTACGAATTTGAATGCTGGACTTCTACTTAATTTTTAGAATTAGGTCAAATCTGAGTACCTCTTCCACCACTGCTAGTCACCCATTTTTAATAACTACAATATGTATCGTTCAAATGTAAATATTCAACGGTAAAAGTACCTTCAAATGATTAGCATTTTTCCTATAAGGGCTGTTGCAATATCATGTTTTCCCTAAACGATTATTGTGGCCCTAAGATTTTAGGAAAAACCATGTGATCACTATAGAAAAAAACAATGTTATCAAACGAGTCTTTGAATTGATCGTGTAGTTTGTCTCTTTCTTGGCAAGTAATTGTTCGTAATGCTTGAAGAGGTACTGACTTATTTTTGCAAAAGTATATGTGCAACATGATATCATATTCATCTTTAAGGTACTTTGCGACTACTTTATGTAGAATCGTAGTCTGTTCTGTTATATGCAATCAAATGTCATATAGGACGGACATAAAGCAGTTGGTTTATCACTATCTGTTCAACCCGTTTCTCTAGACCTACCTGAAAGAAATCATGAGGGAAATCGGGACGTACAACAGCAAGGGGGCTCACAAAAGCACCTGGGAGCTGAAGCCCGAGTACAGGCACTACCAGTCTGCTGAGGAGGAGGAGGAGGAGATGCAGACGGCCTGAAGCAGGGCACAGCTTTCAGGTGTTAGTGACCCCCTGAACACAGATGTGGAAAAGGAAATGCTGATTTTGAGTTAATGTTTTGAGTTATTGGCAGCTTCCACAGCACTTGTACATAAAGGTGGAAAATAAAATAAACCACATGATTACATTTACAGCTGCACGCATGATTTCTGGTTGGTCAAAATGAAGTCAGATATTCAAGCTGAAAAGTGAATGTTGCTTCCTCAACCAGTGGAGGGATGTTATACATTAACTCAGTTCCTTTGTCCTACTTTTTTTATTTGATGCTTAAAGGTACGTCCACACAGCAGCGTTAAAACGCATTCACTTTGAATGGGGTGACGTCACTTTTCGCCGAACTGCATTGTGGGAAGCAGAGCGGAGCTTTGCTGCCGTTTCAGGCTGCAAAAGTTGAGCAATGTTCAACTTTTGAAGCTTCTGAAGCGTCAGCCAATCAAATCCTGTTTATGCAGCCAATCAAACCGCGTGTATGCTGGGAGACACACCGCAGGTCATTTACTCATATTCCAAAAAAATGGAGCAAGCTTCAACGCGGGCCGTTATACTTAATTTTTACACCAACTGGCTACTTCATCTAAAAACACATGACGTTAGTATGCGGTACTTTCCACCTTACCCAAAATGTATATACTAATATAAAACTCTGTTTTTGTTAATGGTGTTTGTATCAGATCAGGTAAAGCGGTGAAAATATTCTAAATAAAAACCTCAACTGGTGTCATTGTTATGAGTTAGGAAAAACCAACACACTGGATTTGATCGTCCTTAAGGGACACAGCCAGGCTGATGACTTGATGCCACAGGATTAAAAAATTGATTACAAAAATGAGGAAGCACAACAGTTGGCACTTGTGTTAAAGGTCCCATGTCATGCTTTTCTGGTTATTACCCGTCCCCTTGTGTGTTATGTAGCTTTTTATGCATGTAAACGGTCTGCAGAGTCACACACCCTGTAGCGAGTAAAACCTGTCTATGCTGCCCCAGAACGCCTCGTTGGGGATTTCTTTTTCCATCGTTTACTTCTTGGGTATAGTGCCGTTACATTTGGACCAATCCGCGGACTTCCTCACACACAGCGGGACTTTGCGAGACTCGCTGCTGCGAGCGGGACACTGAGCTGGCTCACTGGTGTGGGGTCGGCGAGACGAGACACCGCGGGGCACACTCAAACTCCCAGCCAGGCTGCGGGTGTGTGTGTCTCGCAGACGGCCACTGGGCTCACAGGGAGGAGCTCCAACAGAGCGAAACACACTATACAGAGATGCTGTATGAGAAACCACTGTGAGTTTGGAAAGTTGCACAATATAAATGTATTTTAGTATACCTCAACAATGGAATTATGATCAGTAGAATGGCCATGGCGTGGGACCTTTAAGACTTTACAATTATTGTAGGGCTAAATTTGACTGATTCGTGTCGGTACCTACCATGCAATAGGGGCTGCCTTTATCATAATGAAAAATTACTGCTAGAATCAAACTCAGTATGTAGAAGTGCCTCTGAAACATGCATAGATAGTCCTTTATTTCACCAATAACCTGAACCAGTACCTTTTTAATAAAGGATGTTATTTCACTCTGCTCCTCGGTATTGTACCGACAAAGACTACATGGTCAAATTCATCCAAACGCTGGGGGTTTGAAATTAACCACATAAAGTCATTCGACAAAAAACAGCATACTAGAAAGTGGTGGTATGAGTGTTTATTTTCAAATCAATCCAGAAGTTTGTGTAACCATATTAATCCAACCTGCGTAAGGAGATGCTCAAATAGTATGCAGTTGAAGGAAAGCCATCTTTCAATCACACACTGTCCTGCCTTTAATTTGAAATCAAAAACGGGGCAAATCCTAGGATCAAAAACAGCAAAAGCCAAGTTAAAACCGTATTCAGTGACCAATTGTGTTTGAGTCACTCAGCCTTGCATGGTGCTGCGGTCCTTAACGCGAATAAAAATAAATTGTTCAAGAATGTTTCATGATGCCAAATACTGCTCCTTCAGTCTGTTCTTGGGGCCGGTTGGAAAGCAGCATCCAATTAAAAAGCAGATGACGGTCCGGGAAGTTACTGTAAGAGAAAAAAATGTCAATTACAGTGATTCCTGAAATGTATCTTTATTTTCCAACTTTAATATATGTATATAAGATATATCAATTATTCCGCAAGAGAACAAAAATATCCATTGCCTCGTGTAGGTATAGACAGATTCAAGTAATTTTTGACGTTTTGTCCGAAGCCCAGGAACTTTAACCGCAAGCAGCTTAATTCCAACCTCATTTTTATTTAGAGCTGCATCCCAATAAAAAGTTACTTTCTGAAATGTATGTGCATCTGCAGTTTTAGCGGAGTACTTACGCATTTCTCTTCAATCAGACCATCTTTGAAGAAAAGCATAAACGGGGTGATCCCATCTTCACGGTAGTCCAGCAGACCCACCAAGCCTTCCGAGTCTAAACTCTCTCCTGTGAAGAACTGCAGGAAGACAAAGACCACCCGTTAGAGCACACGCCACAGTTTTTAAGTGATGTTAGTCATGAGATAACCAGCCTTAACCTGTTAAGCCCCGAGCCTGTTTTCCAGGTCTCACGCTCGAAAATGACATTCCCAGAACAAATGACCATATCTTCCCTTCTAAAAGGGGAAAATTAATAATCTTTTTTCTCAAAGCAATGATAAACCTGTGAGTTGGATGTAGAAAAGTCAGAATCGATAGATTTTTATAAGTAAATTCAGATTGAACATAGTAAAAAAATGTTTTAATTGTAGTGTCCGTAATAAAAAAAAAAAACACATTACTTATAGTGAAAACCACCCTTGAATGATGGGATAGTAGACTAAAAGCTTCAGGAATCCAAACTATAACATAATAAGTACCCTGTATTAAGTTTGATGCAAAACAAGTGGAATTTGACTTATTTAGAGGGGAAAAAACCCACTTCTGGGGTCATTTGGGTGCATTTTCCATATCTCTGGCCCCCCTTGGTGGATTTTGATGATTGACATCTCTTTTTAACCGCTAGAGCCAATGGAATCGAGGGGAAGTTCCACATAGACGTTACCAAATAAGGAGTGAGAGTGACGCGTAGCCAAAACAGGAAGCTGTCACACTCTGGAAGCCATCATTAGCAGCTAATATGAAAACTCTTGTTTTTGACATAAAAATGGAATTATTAATAATTTTTTCAAAGTGATAGACACATTGGATTAACCCAGGGGTCTGCAACCTTTTTGACCAAAAGAGCCATTTTGCCCCCTTTTCCACCTATTTTTTTAAATTATGACTGCAGATCGTCAGCTGTCTTCCTCTTCCGTGTTTTCCCTCCTATACGTAAAGGCTGCAGCAGCTTTAACAACTTCTCTCTACATATCAAACATACCGGTAAGCCAGCATCGTTTGCTGTGAAAGCATATAACTAACCACGCAGAATTAAACCCTCTGTGTTCCTCGGATACTTTTATTTTCTTTGATTTATCCGTAGTTCGCTCATCGAGCCGGGGGTCAGGTTATTCGCCTGCAAGAAAATGCGATGGTGCGGGACCGTAGCGGGATGTGACGCATATTTTAGTTGACGTAATTAAAACCGTTAATAGCAAAATAACAGCAAAAGGTGAGCATGTTTCGCTACCTAAAGCTACGTTGTGTGTTGTCTGTATTTGCTTCCCCTGTCGCGGGTTCTGATCGCTCAGTGATGATACTTATATTTCTAGTCTGTGGAATCTCAGCTTGCTAGCTAAGCTTGTTTGTGCAGATCCGATAAGTATATCGATTGATTTATATCTAGAGTTCTGTGCTAAGTGCGTCAGCATTTTTTCACTCAAGGCTCATTTAGACGCTTCTTGTGAGACTTGTGTTTTGTTCCGGTAAAAATGGTTCATATCATCAGTTAGCTGAGTTTCTTCCCGTTAAGTGAGTATGACACATTAATAGTTTATTACATTTTAAGAAGCCCTGAGACAGTTTCGTGAAAAGAAGCCTGTAGCCCCAGCCGGCGGGGGCTATGGGGCTTAACAGGTTAACAGTTGCCATTAGGGGTGACATTGAGCTCTAATTTTCGTAATTATATACCTCGTAGTTGGAAAAGTTCGCCACGATCTTCTTGATTGCGTCCGGGGCTTCAGCCTTGAAGGCCTCCACCCTGTCCGGGTTTTCCTTTTCCAAGTGGGTCTTAATGCTGTACAAGCAAAAAATAGGATTGTGTTAGATCAAACCAACCTGCTATGGGTTCATGTATCCAACTAGATCTCTCGATCCTTGAACCATCAATGAAACTCACGCTTTAACATATCCTTTTATGTATGCCATGAAGGATTTCTTGGTGAATTCGACTCTTTGCAGGCTGTGGTTGAGGACGATGTCGACGCCAGAAATGGTAGACGAGTCATTGCCATCAGTCATCTCTTCAGCAGAGGCGTTAGCCCCAATCAGCGCATCATCGAAGCCCTCTGTCCGGGTGACGGTCTAGAGACATTAGCAGGGGAGCAGAGAGGACAGCAATGAAAAAGACTGCTTCACTTTATGTAGAAAGGACCAAAATGTGCAGACCCGTCAACTAAATTGAAATGCTTAGCACAGCTTTGGCACTAACGCATCGGACTTAAAGGCCCAGCCGCTTTACCAAGAATCCAGCCAAAATCAGACTTGTGTTAATTGTACTTTGTAATATTCAGAACCCGACAACAGCGTGTGAACGAGGGCTGGGTGTGACTTCAGTTAGCTCATCATAAAGAAATGTTGTTGTGCGTGTTTGGACCCTCCCCCTGAGTCATCCTGATTGGTAGTGTCTTTAAATGACAACGGGAGCACTAATTACATGACTCAGATGTGTCAGATTATGGAAGAGTTACTTCCTAACATTATTATGACAATGGATAACTGTGCCATGACAGTTCAAATTATGTTTTCACACACATTTGCTTTGTTAAACACCTCTTGACTCTTAAGTGTGAATATTAAAACAATTAAATTGTGTCAATATCCCATAAACGCCATTCCATTCCACTAGCTGTTTTTCATTATGTGCCACAGCGAGCTGGGGCCATCTTTGAGCCAGCCGGTACTAAAGGCCCTTAGCTTTTAACAGAAGAGTTCAGCTGATATTCAACCTTAAA